CAGAAGCGGGAATTTGATCTTCTAACTCAATATTAGTTACCTATTTGAATTATTATTAATCGTTTCAATAATGTCTGGGTGAGTAGAGATTTGCTAACATTATATATAAAACATTTTTCTCCAATTTAGCATATGTAAAAAAGAACTACAGAAACATTTCATTCGCCAACCTATGATTGCTGAAGCATCAACATATTTAATACTTATACAAATAAGCGCAATAATTAGCGGGGTAATAATTAATAATTATCTAATAATAATCAGATCTCTTGTAGATGCAATATGGTATTTAACGAAGCATGATAAGAAAAATAAAGAAACCTATATATTTTCGCTCTGTAAGCTACAGCATACAGTCATTATCAAAATTCTTCTGCAAACTTTAGTAGCGTGTTTCTATCAATTTTGTTTTATCTAGGTAGAAACTTTGATGTTTCAGCACATCTTGACATAAAACCATATTTACCTCCGCCGCCGGATGCACCACGGGGTTCCCGGAAGACGACCCCGGCAGAATGGCGCCAAGGACCAGGGACTTCTGCCAGCGACTACCAAGCTACCTACGACCGACTCCATACACAGGGACTCTCCAACGAACACTCACCCCGTCAACACGTCTTTTTCTGTACAACTTAGTTTTCAATAAAATACTTTATTATTACCGTTGAGAGAGCGTTTTATTCTTGCTGTACAGCGAAAGCAACCCTCAGTAATACTGATAATTTACCAGGATTTGAAAAGAAAATATAGTCCCAGAATATGGTTGTAAAAGATTAAATACCTACATTTTTTTGTCAGAAAGGGTTAAAGCTATCGACTTGGAAAAGAGATCTTTTTTGTATACTTTTTATTGAAGAAATTGTTTTTGCCAAGGAAACATATCGAGTAGGTTTATGTATGGAGATTTAGGGAAAGGAGGCGATAATAAATTATTAGTCGAAAGAACAACACCCTTAAGAAAGCAGGTCTGATGAAGAACAGGTTTAATTTATATTTAAGCATTCTGTTTTGTGGGACAGAGATTCAGAGATAGAGCAGTATATTGCTTTCTTACGAGAAGAAAACGATGTGGTTTTGCTTGCAGTAAAAAGGAACGCTTATGGAAAATACGTATATTGGCGGATGGGTAAAACTGCAAAAGAGGGGAGATAGACGTGGAACTGAGAAGGAAATTGAAAAGAGCGAGGACTGCCAGAAGGATTAGGGAAGAGGAATTTTATTAAAACTAGTGGAGCATTGTAAGTAGGAATACGAGGAAAAATCTGAAAAAAAATCTTCAAGGTAAAATGAAAAAGATGGAAAAAGCTGTGAGAAGATAAGAAAGCGCGTGGGGGATATCTATAAAATATATCAATACTTGTAGCGGAACAAACTACTACGGTAACCAAGTACGTATTGAATAACCTTTTCATTGAAGAGGTATTTCCCCTTCCTATCTATGGAAGTCCTCTAGGCTTATATCAAAACCGAGAAGGGAGTTGCAAAACGATAACGCTTATCGAGTGATATGCTTGCTAAATTCCAGGAAACTATAAGAGGCAGTCATTCCTCGCAGATTAAAGAGCGAAATAGAAAGAATGGGTGGATTGAATCCGATTCAACACGGCTTTAGAAGAAGTCTTCCTTAACAGATGGAGAAGAAGCTATAAATACCATTAAGGGAAGCGGAACTAGCAGAACAGTGCGTAACGTAAATAATGCTTTCAATATGGCAAATTGGCAGGTTATCATCAATAAGTGGACAAATGGAGGGATAGATGAACATCTGGTGACCAAAATCCAGAACTATCTAAGGGAAAGTAATCTGCAAATCTCAAATGCCGAGTTCCACATGGGTCTATTTTAGGACCTATGCTGTGGAACGTTTTATATGACGACATATTATGAATCGAGGTACAAAAAATTACCAGTAATATGAAGATGACCTGGCCGTTTTGGTATGAGGAAATATTGAAGCTTGACCCGATAAATCGATGGATTATTATCCATTATTATCACAGAAAGAAGAATTGATCTGAGATTAGAGGCGAAATATTTGGGTTTTACCATAGACAACCTTTCAAATTTTGGTCTGTACATACAACAGGTATGCAATAAAATGCAAAGGAGAGCACCGGCCTTATCAAGACTTCTGCCGTATATAGAAGGACCGTCTGAGAAAAAAACTCTTAACTAACCTCTTAACTAAAGGACATGTCTACAAGGGAGCTCATAAAGGATGTAAAGAAATGGTGCAAGAGGAAGCATGGGCAGAGGGCAATGAAACTACTTCACATTCCATTTTCTCACAGGTGACCTGCAGTTTCCGTACATATTTGAGGAGAATCGCGAAAAGATATACATCTAGGTGCATGTACTGCAAAGATAAATATATGGTTGAACACGCAATCTTCTCGTGCATAGATTAGAGGTTTTTACATATTTTAGTTTGGATAGTTTATCTGTTATACTACTTTATACACTAAAAAATAAAATGCATCTGTATCTTAATATTTGTGAGTATGAATATATTCTTATCTTTAAAACTGACATGAAGCACACAGTGACTCTCAAACTTTTACTGCTTCCCAATGACTAAATTGATGCCATTGGGAAAACAATAGGATTTCAGTAGGTTAATTTATTATATAAATGTACGACAAAAGAATAAAAAATTTCGTGAAATTCACTTGTTTGCCGAAATATATTTTTGATTAATTTTTTTTCCAAGAATTTTCTAGTAGGATATATGAATTTCTTTATTTATATAATATTGCCCAACAAAGTTAATTTTTAATTTAATGGAGTGGGTGTTGTAGTTATTGACAATTTACATGTTTTAATTAGACAAATTATTTTATTAATTTTGTTAATGGAAGTTTTGAAAAATATTAGTAAAATGGAGTGGGTGTTGTAGTTATTGACAATTTACATGTTTTAATTAGACAAATTATTTTATTACTTTTGTTAATGGAAGTTTTGAAAAATATTAGTAAAATAATAATTATTAAATTAATAAAATATTTATTTCTTAATGTTTTTCGGACATCATTCAGTACAATTTGTTCTATTATTTGAATACCACTGGATTATATGAATTATTTTCTCAAATCATAAATGTTATTAAAAGAATTATGATAACGTATTTAAAGTATACTTGAACTAATATTTGAATTATTATAGCAATCGGTAATTAAACAGATGACTGGGTAATAGGAAATTGTCAATTCATTCCATGTCAGAATTGTTGTTTGGTTCTAAGACACAACATTTTGTTCGTCATCGTTAGTGTTTAACTTTTCCAGATATATTATAGAAAATAAAATTATTTGCTAATTAAAATTAAAAAAATTGTTTAAACTGAAGATATTTGTTTTTTGGAATACATACCGATTCTATTCTATTTTTTACAGCTATAGTTTCTTATAACCGATAGCGTACATTGATTATTTTTTCTGTTCTTACTCTTCTATATTTCTTTAGAGGCGTCAATTTCCAAAAATATTCCTGTATTGAATTCGGATTAATTAATACAAGGTATATTGCATATTAAAATATAATTTTCAAATTTAAATAAAATCGTATAACAAAGAAGAAAAGCAAGGTTTAATTTAAATGAGTTTTCTAGAAAAGATATTTCAATCACCTCTTTGTTACCAATCGTATATCGTTATTAAAATTACTAATTGCAGGCAAAATATATAGTCAGTGAAGAATCTCTTAAAAAATAATTTTGAATTTATGGCGAGCTAATTAATCTTATGTCGCTTAAATTCCAATAAATTTAGGTACTGTTGGTTGCACACATAATAATTTATAATGAATACCGTGGCAGTTTTGATAATGATTAAATAAAAATCTACGATTGACAAATTTGTTCATGTTTCTATATTCAAAATTTCTAATATCTTGTTTTCCATTTAACCTATTACTTTTTATGTGTTCTACATTCGTACTACTAATTATGTCAGCATTGTTTCCTTCATTATATGCAGTTCATAGGTCTCCAATTATTTCAATTCAATTTCCTGCTCAAATGAAAGCTAAAATTTCTTAATCTTAAATATTAGCAAGTTCTAAGTTAGTATAGTAGTAAGAGAATAAAAATTTTTCAATATATTCATTGGAATTCACAACGTTTCAATATATTTACTTTTTTTTAATTTCCCAATGCTACATTGCTAAAGTCATCTAAGTTAGCTTGAAAATAGCTTCCTTTTTTTCTATAATAGAATTTATAGAGAAGGGGGTTAAACATCATGAAGGTGGCCTTTGGCATGGAAAAAATCTACTCTATTGCTGTTACTTGTCGCTGCAGTTTTTCCTGAAGTAATGAAAGTTTATTTAAAAGCGTTTACGATTGCAAAATTATGAAAAACTTCAATTTTTCAATTAGAAAATCACTCTATTATCTAAATGCAATACCTCTTCTAATTCTTATGATATTTGATTCAGATTCTGATTGTTGATACGTTTTTGTAAATTTGACTTAATCAGGGGAGTTTTCTTGATCTTTAGGTTTAAATATAAGAAAACAAATAAAAATTATATATTGTAATAAAAAACGATGCTGGAATCTGCTTCCCTCAGGTTTTGTGACACATTGTGCATGCTGCCGTTACGGACTGTTACGAAACACATTTTTCTTTAAACCTATGCGTGTGTCAGAAGTGATACCTACTAATATGAATCATAGAAGAACTACGATGCTCAAATAATTGATATTAATCTTCTTTCCAGTCGATCGAATTATTCCACTGTTTGAAAATCACTGAAACGTGATATATTTTCTTAAGTCGTAAATTATATAAAAAATGTATGGTGATAATGTAATTAAATTATACAATTCAATTAATATTCAAATTAATGAAGCAATTATTATCCAATCAGTTGACTGGATAATAGGAAAAAGTCAATTCATTCTATTTCACGATTCCTGAGTTGTTAGATACAATCGTGATATAATTTGATTAATATATGTATTGTTGGTTGCGTACATAATTGTAATTGATACTGTCGTCTTTTCTTAAGGTAGCTTTTATTTTTCAAAGAAATATAAAAATGATAATTAAATAAAAAGAAGAATATGCTTAAGCTTCTATACTAAGTCATTCATTATCCAAAATTTCTAATATCATCTTTTCCATTTTACCCATTGCTTCTTTAACCTGCTCAGCGTTTATACTACTAATTAGGTTAGTAACGCTTCCTTCATTATATGCAGCTATTAGCTCTTTCAACGTGTCGTATAAATCGACTACTTCTTCAACTGACTCCTAAAATTAATAAATTATTTATAATTTTCAGCTTAACCTAAAATCTTAAGTTTTTGTATTTTAGAACTGTTGTTATATGTATATACTTGTTTAAAAATAAAGGAATACAAAATTCAAGATTTATATAATAGTACATAAAGTATAACAATTTTGAGAAACACTAGATAATTATGAAACTCTATATATTATATACTTACTTCCAAACATGTAGAATTAATAACCAAGTTACTGTCAATGTCATTTGGTAAAATTGAATTTAGTGCATATTGAACTATAGGGCTTATTAGAGATGACGTGCACTCTTTTTCATAGTCCATCCACATGAAAATTATTTTTTCTAACGTATTTATAATTGTAGACAGTATTTCGCTGAAACTATCATTTTTCCAAAATTTGGTAATGTACGACTAAAAATTATTAGTTTATTGGTATAAGTAAATTTAAAAGTAGGTACATGTATTCATGTATACACTCACTAAACAATAATTACAATATTTATTTTTAAGTTGAAGCGTAGTGTTTACCAGGTCTAAGATTACAATACATTTCTTCATTGGCAACCTACTTTAAAACATGTTTAAAGTTATTTATGCAAGCGAGAAATTCAAGAAAACGATCTTTGATAAACAGTATATAAGTTTATGTAAGTACTTACCTTTGATACAGCAGAAAAATAAAGTTGATAAGTAAAGGAAGTTTAAAGACCAATAATTATTGACGATAGGCATTTGAAAATAAGGTAAAATTAAAAAAAATCATCAAAATCGGACCTCTAGAAGGTGAGATATTAAAAATTTTTAAACGCATCGCGGTTTTGAACTCACTGATTTAATTTCGAGCAGGCCGAAGCGGCCGCGCTCTCTGCTTGCCTCACCACCACCACCCGTACGATTTTATTGAATTTCTCGCTTGCATAAATAACTTTAAACATGTTTTAAAGTAGGTTGCCAATGAAGAAAAGTATTGTAATCTTAGACATGGTAGTACACGGAATACCAAAGGTATTTTTCGAAAAATTAACCCGGATGTCCCAGTACATTTAGTGTAAATGACGGTTAACTTTGATTGGTTATAACTACATACCAATCGATCTGTTTTTTTTTTTAAAGAAGCGTCTTTCCAAGAACTTTTAAAACCTATTTTAAAAAATTTGATTAGGTTGAATATTCACAAAGTTATTCTAATTGTTTATAAGTACAAAAAAATCGACCAATGTTTAAACAAGCGCCAGAGCTCTCCAATTTTTCAAAAAAAGTTTGAAAGCCTGAGAGCCCTTATATATGTGATTAAATTTTCAAGGATCTAAGGTCCTTGGTTTTTGCTGTACAAAATTTTGAACATTTGCAATTTTTTTTTCAAAATCTGGATGGCAAAATTATTATGCAAAATCTATCTAACCGATTTTGATGAAATTTGGTGTGATGATTCTACATAATATGAAGTTTTCTTGAGCCAAGTATAAAGGTCCTATACCCAATTTAAATACCCCAAAAAAATTCCCTAAAAAGTATTGTTTTTTAACCCCATTCTTGCGATTATTTCGATTTTTACCAAATCGCGATTTGTAACTAGTCTTGTTTTGTAAAAAATTTAATTACAAACATTTTTTTGCTTTTCCATTTTCGCCTAAAATCAACTCTTGAAAAGATACATAATTAAATAGGAAGAAAAATATGCCATTTTTCTATTTTTTTTTAACATATTGTGCCGCCAAAAGTTAAGCCCATGTTTTTTTATGCGCATAGAAAAATTTTCATTTCTAGTGATATTTGAAAGCCAAAAAGCCAAAAATTCACCCAAATATGGCTTTTTGAATCAGATACCGTCTGGACTGTCAACAACGAACGTCATTATTAGAAAATCATTTGCAGTGACGTCCATTGCTGACAGCGAGAAGGAATTTCTGCCGGCAAGAACGCCAGCAGAATTCTTAAAAAACATAACTTAAAGCTAAAAAATATACTAGTGGGAGATCAACCTTTATTCGGTTTCAAAATACAGACCTAATCAAATTTAAATTTGCAAACTAAATAAAAAGTTATAGTAAAGAAAATGTCATGGTGGTTCTGTTGTATGTGACCGGACTGTAAATCTCATCCAGATTTTTATTTCTGAGAGCTACTTACATAATATTTTACCCTTTTTTTTACCTTTTTATAAAAAATAATAAAGACTAAAGCTTTAGGAAATTTTCTTGTCATTTGAAAGAAATATACATATAAAAAAAATTTGACAGTTTCATTTCGAAGATGTGAATTAAACTTTGTTGTTATTAAATGTGTATTTATTACCTTTTGTTTGAATTCCCCTTTTTGTAGAATTATAATGCACGTATCATATATACATCTCATATATTTGATTTGGTAGTTTGCACACTATTTTGTTTTTTTTCTTGCACATAGTCAAGATTGCCATGGAACCACTGCGTGAGGATACTTTCCGCTGTTAAATTTACTAAACAAATCTTTTAATACTCTATTAAGAAAAAAAATATTATAATCAAGTTTTTCTCACAATATCTGATGGTATTAATTTCGTTCATTATTTTCTGCATTAGGTTAGGTACATAGATTATTAGATATTTTTTCTTTACTTGATATTTCAGAATGTTCTATGGAAAGAACAACACGAAAGTCAAATAAGAACTACCTGCAGATCATATATATTGTACGAGTACTTATATCATAGATTCCTGCACAAGAAAAAAAAACATTATTTAGAACACGATGGTGTTATTATAAAACACCTTTTATAGCATTGTAATTTTGTCTTAATAAAATATACAGGGTGATTCAGACATAATGTCATTAATTTTAAGAGCAGATAGATAAAAATTAGTATAATACGATGGCGTGATTAAAACAAAAATTAAATGCGTATTTAAGCAGAAAAAATATTTTCAAATCATTATTTAACCCCCTTTTCAGGCTGTTACTGACCGGCTGACGTCAGCCGGTTATTCACAATTTGCGCACGGCTACGATATGAACAAGGCGCCCTAGATGCAATATTGAAGTTACAAAACTCCAAGAGTTCAAGTAATTTAAATTTCATTTCATAACCATTTCAATTTCATTACGGAAATAATGACATAAAAAACCAACACTCACTAGATAAATTATAAAGAGAGGGTGAAATGTATGTAACATTTAAATATAGACTGTAAGTAATAGAAAATAAAAAAACAATCGGACGGAGACAAATAAACAACTCGGTACGTGTTTCCGACCTGGGATAACCTGTGTCTAGGTCACTGACCTTCTATCTAACCCACTTTTGATTTGCACGTACACTCTAGTCTAGGAGCCAGATAGGGTGCCGTGACCAACCAGAGTGCAACGGCTGCAAACAAATTAAATGTTTAAATGGCTGTAAAAAGTTTATTTGTATAGCTAGTAACGGAACCCTATCTGGCTCCTAGACTAATACGAACTGTAGTAGGATAGTAATCCATCCAAAGTAGAGCAAAAAGTTGTCGGTCTTTTATCAAAGGAAAATCGTGTCACCAAATTGAATGTAATGAATAGGGATGATTGTTTTCGAATGTACGGTTATTACAATTTATCATTTTTAATATTATTAACGATTTCACGTTTTATTATTTAAAGGTCAAAGGTCAAAAAGGTCAAAAAATGCCAGCACGAGTAAAACAGCGTTCATTCGTCCAGCGCACTTTGTTTTAAGAAAGTTAGGGTCTGCTGCACTTCGATTTAGGAACCAACTGCAAAATTCAAGACGATTGGGGAAATCAGCTGGTTCTAAAGCTTGAAATTTTTGAAAATGGTACGGGTTGAGTGAATTCTCGCACAATATCCGCCAAACTTTGGTTTGTGATATCTCCAGTTGCCTTGAAATTGTTCTTGTGGAAATAGTAGGCTGCTCCTCGACTAAATTTAAAACAGCCTCTATCACATTTAAGTCATTTTGTCGATGTCCTGCATGTTTGCTGCGCGATATGGTATGATAGATGCAGTTGGAAAAATGCGGGAGATATGGAAGGTGGTAGATTTGAATTAACGCTTTAAATTGTTAATGATTTTGTAACCGTGTGTAGTGTATTTTGTATATACGGGTATTTAGTAGTGTGCCAACTTTTTTTATTTGATAAAATACGTTGTGCCTACAAACAGGTAACTACCTCTGCTTTATTTATTTTCTTTTAACGAAAGTTGACTTCGAGAAGTCGGACTTGTTAAAACATTCTGCACTACGTTAATACAATTGTTAAAATTATTTATAATAAAATGCAGCATAGTCCTTTATTTACTTGCATACGTTTAACGCGGAACCCACAGTAAATGTGAACCACATATTATGACGTGACCTTGGCAACGCTGTTCGCTTCAGCTGACGACCGATTCATGATATTACGTTACAAAATTCTCGGAGCATCCGGGCAGAGAACAGACTTATCTGTTCTCTGATCCGGGCATCTAGCAGGGCCGCCCTCGTAGCGGGAGTTATGGGATGATTTCATTCATTTTTGAAAGTCGAGTAAAAAATTTTTTTTCCGATTTTTATTTCCGTCTTTATTAAGCCTTCCGAATACGTGGTTAAAATTAATGACATTATGACTGAATCACCCTGTATAAAGATATGTTTAGTAAATGTAATGGCGGAAAAACATAAATATATTATATTCCATAGCAATCTTCACATTATCCATAGAAGAGGGTCAATAAATAAATCAAAATACATAGCTTATAAACCATTGTTGTGTGAATGACTCTATACATACTAGATTTAGTTCACAAGCAATTTAAAGAGACACTAGAGCAAACAGAATTGCACAACAATTAAGACCAAACAAGCATGGATCATCATCTTCAGTATCACCATCACCACCAGTGGAACAAAGACTAATCTACCCCTTTTGCATTTTTTTAAGAATTAAGTGTACTTTGTGCTATTAAAATTTGAAAATGACGATACGAGGCTAATTACTCACATAAATAAATAAACTATTTCATATGCAACAATTGTCTACTTTTTATATATGTACACGCAATATCAGTTTACTCCCTAGATGAATATAATACAATTTAATACAATAGTATATTTGTAATATTTTACTTGTACGTATATTGTAATATAAAAAGTGTATAATTAGTAATATGTTGGTTAAAAAAAGTTATTCCTTTCTCTCTTTTGTTTTGCTCCTTTACACACATACTTACCGGAGAATTATGCAATTCTAAGCTCAGTGCTACGTCATCCACTGAAATTTGTGAAAAATCTGGTGAAATGTTGATATTCAAACACAAGTCAAGTATTACTTGTGATACAGCCAAACTAAAAAATAATATATTTATCTTAATTAGGGCTTGATTAAGACATCTAAGGTAACGGACGTGACATCCTTTGAAGCTACATATAGATACAGCTCAGGACAATACAAAGTTTCCGTTCTAAACTGCTTTAGGTCAAAAATTTTTTTAGCACAACTGCACGTATTAAAATAGTAGACATATCTCAAATTAAATTAACTCTGCCATTTTGAATATTGTTCTAATTATTGATTATCTAACATACTGACAATTTTGTAAATAAGTATCGGAATAATTAGTATGAAAATCACATTATTTGTAATTTTATGGAAGAACGTAGAATTATACCACTTACTTGATTTTTCCGTCCCCATAAATAGGTATTTCATCGATTAAACCAATATCCGCATCATAATTTGTAGAAATTCCAAGTTGATCAAATAGAAGATTTACACATAGATCAATTATATTATTTTCGTTTGAAGGATCAGCATCATTTGCACTTATTCCTGCAATATCTAATGTCTGAAATCCGTATACCTGAGCATTTTTGAAATTTATTGATCCAGTCCTACAATCAGCAAAGATAAGATTGTTATTATGTAGTTATTTTTGGGTCATTGCAAGTATAAAAATAATGTTTTCATTGTCCTCTTTAGATCAAGTTCAAGTAGTCTAGGAGAAGTTTTTACTGTTCCTCTATCACTATCTACCTTACTTTATTAACTTTTATTTTTTTTAAATATATAGTATTCATATTTGGAAAGTATATTGTTTGACTTAGCTTAACTTACTAATTAGCTTAAAATAAAGTAAAAATAGGAGAGCCAATAACAAAATACACATTTTAAAGAAATTTTGTATAAAGTTAGTTATATTATTAATACCTACTTTTGAAATAGTCATTTTAAAATTTTATATATAATTTTGTTTTATTGATATTTATTAACTACATGTGCAAGAAGGTCACTTGAAAAAGTAATCCTAAGTAAACCATGGACATACCAAGGTCGTTCCAATTTCTCTGTTGGTCTTTGTCAGGAGTGATGTTAGAACAATAAGAATACAAGATATTTCTTTGAAAAATTACATTAGTTTTATTTCTAGTACATTCAAATAGTATTTAACAGTCAGATGCAGCCGCATTTGATTTGAAACAATGAATTTTCAACCTTATGTAATAATTATATCGGAATGCATATGCATTTGACTGTTGGAAACTGTTTTGGATTGCTCTAGGAGCAAAGCTATTATTTATCAATTTCAATATCACAGGTATTTGTATTTGTATTACCTAATAATTTTGTTGGTATAATTCAATGCTAGTTGGGATAGAGTAGAGTGGGTTTCCTGCAATATAATCAGTTCACCTTGTCTATGAGGTTATATATCTTTTGCATACCTAGATTTTCAGTGTCAAAGTACACTGTTTGATTTCATTTGAAGTAATACTTATAAAAATGCTTACGAAATGTTTTTGAGGTCCACTGGAATGGTCCAGGTATCATTTTCTGGTACTAAGGTGACACTTTCCAATCGTTTTAAGTTAATTAGCACAAGTCTAAGTCCAAGTTTCAAGATTGCTGCAAGAGAAACATAATTTATAAGTTTTAATTAGAGTTTAAAATAAAGTTATAGTAAGCGATGAAACAAATCTTGGATTAGTTAAATATTATAGTTATATTTTTATATACTTTATGTTAGATATTTGTAACCGTGGCACAAAACTCGCAATAATGATAGAGATAGTAATGCTTAAAACAACTCCTCTTGCGCAACTTCAGTAAAATTAGCTCTGTTCTTGTCTAATACATCGTAATGGCCAGCATCGTATAATATATGATGCATTGTCCGAAAAATTGTACCCCCTACCGTTAATCTACTGTTATTAATATAAATATACTTACGAGCTAAATTTAATTTATCTGCATTTATGTTCTCCACCACCAATGCAGAGGCAAGCACTAAAAATAGTAGTGACAGTCGCATGTTATTTATTGTAACGCACAGTTTAATTAATACGTTTCTCTTGAAGAATTATCGACGAAATGGGTAATAAATAAAACAATTAGGTACATTATTATCTCAAGAGCATTTTTTATATGAAACATGTTTGTAATCTGATTTTGTTGATAAAAGAATCCAATATCAAAATATATCAGTATTGTTTAACATAACGTTTGAACCTTCTAATTCAGGTGTTAGTTGAAACTGATAAAGATAAATTGGATAAAATTGTTATAAACAAAAATAATTTATTCCAACAATTTCCTTTATTTTAAGTAAAATATACATTCTCAATTATTTTTCGCTATTCAACCCTTTAATTCTAAATAACTTATCCTTCTTTTCTATTCCTATATCCTATATCCAACTACCTTGTTTATATAAAATGTTTATAAAATTATGAACAATCAGTCTATTCAGCGTTTCGGGACACGCACACTGAGCTTGGCGTTCCAGCCACCGTCGCTCGGTCTGTCTTTCCCGCTCTTCTTAACATTTCGGCCATCCTGTATATTCCCGTCCTCGGGAATTCCTTGGCCCTAACCTAGAAACGGAACTTAGCGGCAGTGTACTGTTTCGAACATATTTATTGTTTAGGATCTGATGTCAAGTCCAAGATAATCATTTAGTCAGCATGAACGTGAAAATATGTGCTGTGCTTTGCCATTCGTCATTATTTGATAGATCTATACTTCTGTTACACAATCTGTATACCACGCCCACAATACGCTTTATCACCGGTACGTCGGGGCAAACGCCTGGCCAGGGCATCCAATCGACATACAAGCAACAAAGAACCAGTAGCGGCTCGTGAAGGAGGACTCTGGGACTCCGCCCCCCCCAGATATTTTCAAACTATAAACTTAAAATAATGTATTTATTTAAATCAATAAGAAATCTAAATAGCATGCATTCAATATCTCTTGGATGTTAGGTTGGTTGCATAAAGTGCATGTACTCCGTGAACCTAGCTCAGATGAATGCCATCTGCCATCTATGATCGTACCAAAGAGTTATGTTTAACTGTGCGCTCAATCCCCACTCCATCGGGGACCGTGAAATCTGAGTCCATCGTGCAAGCATATTTTTACATATAATTGGACAAATTGGCACGTGGAGGGGATAGGCGACGATAAGCTCGCGCGCTTTGTTTTGGGACTCCATGAGGCAGTAACCCGTATCACTGAAGTGTGGTTATATGTGTTTTGTTTTTGGTTTGGCGCTTTTTAAGACATTATATTTTACAAGTTTAAGTTTAAAATGACGGTTTTTGAAATAAAAAACTTGTTATTAGTAATTTAAGTTTAGAGGAAAAAGTCAAATTGAAAAATAACGGACGTTCAACGTCAGTGTTGAATTTAGTTGAGGTGCAGAAAGACTGCAAAAAGTGGGCCGGCTTTCGTAAATTTGATAAAAACATTTATGATAAGACCCTGTGGTTGTGTGGTTGTGACCAAACAAATAGATTTTTTTGTTTTGTATGTTTATTGTTTGGAGGAGGCGAAGAAAACTGGACGAAAACTGGAGTTTCTGACTTGAAACATTTAGAAATTAAAATTAAGAAACATGAAAATTCTCCTAAACACAAAAATAAGTTGGTGAGTTTTTTACTTTTAGGAAGAGTAAATATTGCTTCTTGTTTAAATAGTGCTTATGCAGAACAAATAAATAGTAAATAGTCATAACGAAACAGTTAAGAAAAATCGATTGCTTCTTTCAAAAATTTTAAATATCTTAAAACTATGTGGTACATGTAACCTTTCTCTTCGTGGACATAATAAAAAAAGTGACTCGGTAAACAAAGGGGTATTTTTAGAACTGATAGACTATAGTGCAAAAATTGATCCCGTTTTAGATAAACATCTTAGTGATGCCCATGTTTTTAAAGGAACTTCAAAAACTATACAGAATGAACTATTACAGTAATCTACATAATTATATCCTAACTGGGTTGGTTGATCGATTATCCACTTCAGCCCCCACACGTTGGAATTTTATTTCTCGCATTGTATCTAAGTAGCTACTGTACACACTGACAGTATTCATTTTGGGGTACTTGCAAAACACAATGACCTTCAAATTCCTTAAAATTTTTCGACTGCGGCGCTAAGCGAGGGGCTGCCGCCCCCCACACCCCCCGCAGCTCTTATCATGTACGTCCTCTTTTCAAAATGCGCCTCCCCTGTATTCAAACCCACGGGCCGCCACTGCAAAGAACGCATTGTTTATTTATACTTTATTCATTTGCATTCTTAAATTCTGAAAACAGGCTCCCTTTATAGTCGTCCTGCCCGACTATCACCCCCAATATATTCTGTTTTCGTTAACTGTCACAGGTTACCTTTTATGTCGTCCTGTCCGACTGTAACCACCAATATATTCTATGTTTTCGTTGATTGTCACAGGTTACCTTTTAAGTCGTCCTGTCCGACTATCACCACCAACATATTATATGTTTCATTGACTGTCACAGGTTACCTTTTAAGTCGTCCTGTCCGACTATCACCACCAATATATGTATGTTTTCGTTGACTATCACAGGTTACCTTTTAAGTCGTCCTGTCTGACTATCTCCATCTTGACATCAAATCCGTTACAACAGAACACCAAATACATCGTTATATCTTTCTTTAACTTTCCAATAAATCAATTAAGTCTTCTCTATCTCTAATATCTCTTTCAGAAGCACTGCTAGAGAGATCGCTGTCTTTTCTACAACTCGAGTATGGTCTTAATGAGTCAACTGCTACTAAAGTACTGAAATTTTTATAACCTCTCATGCCTTTCACACTTCTTATTTTATAACGATCACTTTCGAATATTTTTACTATTTTATATGGACCATAAAACTTTTTGTTGAATTTTCTATTTACACCTTTCTCACTACATGAGATACCTCATTTCCACAAAACCAAGTCCCCTTTTTTATATTTTCTAGGTGCCTTTCTTTTGCGATCATACTGAATTTTCATTTTTCTCGCTACGTTTTTAAGATTACCACTAGCCTTATCTCTTTTATCTCTAACATGCTTAGTATTATGGCTCAGAGAACTCACCCTGTAATCTCTCATACCGGTGCCGCCTTGACATCTGAGTCCTCTACTAATCAGCCTGCCTCGTCTCCACTGTATTTCTTCATTACTTAGGTTCGAAACAGGAACCAAACAATGAGGAACCAAACAATGAGAACCTCTATAAACACCATTCCGGGAATACAAATCACACTTCTCCCGATCTGAAAGCGTTTGTTTTCCATCAAAACTTCATCCTTTTCATTCACATCGCTAATTTCACAGTCCAACATCGTCGTTGAGTGAGGATACAGTATACAGTCTTTTAACAAACTAATTTTTGGTCGCACTTCCTCTCCTTGCTCAAAAATGTCTTGAAACCAGTTATCGTAATTTTTGATCAATTTTGCAGTCCCCGCACATACTAGAAGTGAAACACCTTCGGCATTTATTACCGGCTGTCCGACAATCATGTCAAAATTGTCCATATCTGCACTAGTCCCCAAAGCTGAAGTCTCTATTTGAACGTCGTCAATTTGCAACGTAAACTTTACCGACATCTCAGTTTTTATCGTATTGCCTCCAAATGCCTTTAATACATTTGAGTCGGGATACAGGCGAAGCTTGGCCCTCTTGACAGCAGCTGTATGAATAACATTAACCTGGCTACCGCTATCCTAATAAGCCAATAAATTTTCGTTATTAATAGAACACTGCTTCGCATAGATTTGGTTAACATCTTTCCCTGTAATTTTCACAGATTTTTGCTCGTTTCTCGAAGACGTAATCGGTTCATTAATATTGCGTTTGCGAACTCGGTTACAAAAATAGCATCGTAAAACACTTTTCATGCGACAATCTCTTGAAATATGTCCAAATTTGCCACAATTAAAACAACCTCCGGATCTAATGGGAACTTTCTCATGTCTTTCAGGTCGTGACCTCTTTAATTTTCCATGTTCCTTCTGGTAGCTCTGGTAATTTTCAAGAGATGCTAAAAATCCTGCATATAATTCATTTGGAGTGTTACATTTGAAAGCCCTCGCAATTAAAGGCAATCCTTTAATCAAACAGGAAATTGTAGCTTCGTTGTCCAACCTACACTGCTGTGTAAGTGATAGTTTCTCATGATTTCTAATGAGTCATGGTTTCACATGGTTCTTTCTTTCTTGCAACAAGTTCCTCTAACACAGTTGCATAATCTGTGGATCTCGGAAATGCAAGCGTCAATACTGTTTTCCACTCAGCCCAGGTCTTCTTATAATCCTCCAAACGATGAAACCATCTTCTTGCTGATCCTCGCAGTTTTTCTTGCATAAATGCAGTTTTCTGATATTCCGACCACTTGTGTATTTCTCCCAATTGATCGATTTTCTGAAGCCATCCGGTAACCGTCATTGTGCTGTCATCTGGATCAAACAGTGGAATTATATCGCCACAAACATATGATGTCGACGGTTCCCCCAATACAGTTTCCAAGTCGGCCGATTCCAAGTTTGCTCCGAGTTGGGTGCAACTTTTATTAAAAATCTCACTGACCTTCCTTTCAATGTGTTTTTCCAGCAAACTTTGGTAAAGAGCATTTTCATCATCACTCATCTTAACCACTTTAATGGAACACACTGTCTATAGTTAATAGCAGTTATAAATACGTTCTTTTTTTTTCTATGAAAGACACGTGACACTATCCTACTTCTGATGTTATAAACAAAAATAATTTATTCCAACAATTTCCTTTATTTTAAGTAAAATGTACATTCTCAATTATTATTGTTCGCTATTCAACTCTTTAATTCTAACTAACTTATCCTTTTTTTCTATTCCTATATCCAACTACCTTGTTTATAAAATTATGAACAATCAGTCTATTCAGAGTTTCGGGACACGCACACTGGCCTTGGCGTTCCAGCCACCGTCGCTCGGTCCGTCTTTCCCGCTCTTCATAACAAAATATTTGCCGTATTTAATAGTTTTTTAATATTGGAATACTATATTTGGATTTTTTGGAAAGAAATAATCTGATTTAATTAAAAAGTTTAGCATTTCATCGCCTCAAATTTATTGTTGCATTGATAATCATATAATATTTCGTATTTTCTGAATGTGCTGTATAGTCAAATAGTTGAATTAGAGAGGTTGTAAGATAAGAAGTAGGTACCTACCTTCTCAATTTTTACTTTTCATATACGAAATACTTTTCTGGACAGAACGAATGCGAATTTCTTATTGTCATGAATGATATCACAGTTCCACAAAAAAAGTCTTGTACAAATGACCAGAATACATTATTCCCATGTATTTTGAGCAGTTGAATTCGAATCCGATGTCAGAATTGCCTCAGCAAATCACCAGAATTTTCTAGCATCAAAAAATGTTTAAAAACCCACAAACTCTACAAATCACAAATTAGTTAGTCGCTGTTAAATCAGATATGATTTAACAGCGACTGAAAATCGTGGTCTGACCTATGTATTCTCGTATATTTTGACCCGCTGAATCCGATGTCAGAATTGCCCTAGCAACCCACTCGAATTTTTTAAACTGACAAAATAGCTTAAAATTGCTAATATTTTCGAATTTTAGAATGATAATGCTAATGATAATGCAAAAATATACACTGTGTTCCAAAATAATGGAACAAAATTCATATTTTTTTCTAGTTGAAAGGACCCCGCACGGAACACATGAAAAAAGGTCTTCCGGTGAATTTGGTTGAAATTTTGCAGAAAGATAGTTTTCAGTATGCTCATCAAAGGTCTCAATGGGCCCGAAGCCCAATGGGCCCTCCTTCACGTCCTAAAATGGGGCAAAAGTGGTCAGTCACTATGCGGCGGTAGGGTATCGACATGCTGTTATGGATAAACATATCTAGATATTATTGAAAAGAGATCTTAGCATGCTCATCAAAAGTCTCAATGGGTTCAAGGATAGTTCAAGGATATGTGTCGGAAGGTCCAATGGGCCCTTCTTCACGTCCTTAAACGGGGTAAAAGTGTTCAGTCGCTGTGCAGCCTTAGGGTATCGACATGCTGTAATGGATAAACATCTAGATATTATCGGAAAGAGATCTCGACATGCTCATCAATAGTCTCCATGGGCCCAAGATCCAAGGAGCTTTGCTTCTCGTCCTGAAATGAAGTCAATGTCGATATTTGCCCTACAGTGTTGGTATATTGATATGTTGGAACAGATGAACATACCGACACATTATTTGGGAAGATATTACTTAAAAAGTTTTCAGCATGATCATCACAAGTCTAAATGGGTAAGGGTAAATATATCTGGATAAATATACAAGCCGTTTTCAGCATGCTAACCATAATCTCAATGGGGCCAAAGCCCAATGGGACCTTCTTCTAATCCTAAAATAAGGTGAAAATAGTCTCTTAGTATGCAGCAGTGCCTTATCAATGTGCTGTTTTGTCTAAGCATATCTGCATATCATTTGACGTTTTCCCTTATGAAGAAGATTAATGCGTTCCCTTTATTTTTTATAAACTTGAATCAGTAATAGGGTATACCACCTCATAGTCTTCAGAAGCCACTGAAGAATTTTCAGACTTTCTTCTTTCGACATTATTAGTTAAATGACAAGTCATCGCATGTGTTCTTGCATTATCAATGTGAACCATTATCAGAAACCAGCGGCAAAGTAACCGTGGCTCCTTATTCTTAAGGAGTTGCTTAAAAAACTCAAAAAATTGCAGCAGAATTTATATTCATCGTGGCACACGCCAAATCATGCAAACCCTTCAAACTGTAGAAATCGCTGAACATCCTCATCCATTTTGTTACATAACATATGAATGAAGATAAATGTGAAAAACAGAATGCATCAAATTCTGTAGAATTTATTGCTTATATTAATATTCAAAAATAATGCAAATTTGTTGTGAATTGGTCAAGAAAAAAAGTACATTAGGTTGTTGGGCACGTTGCAACATTCTTCTCGCCATTTCAACAGTTGCACCAGCCATATGAATCAAGGGATGAAATTTGTTTATCATAGCCGCAGCGATATTATAAAAGTCTTGAAGATTAACTACGTGAGATGTTTCAATGATTCCATCGAAAAATTTGAATATAGACTTGATATGCCCATTTCTGGATTCAATAATCCACCTAGTTTCTGTAATCAGACGAGTTTCGTTGGCCTCCTCAGTAGTAAATTGAGATCGTCCACGTTCCAGTAAATGTGGCATCTTGTAATCAATCCCCAGAGCAGTGAGGTAAGGCCCCGCATCCACGGTCAACTAGAAATATATCCCCTTCTTGAAACCATGCCCTCATACCATCCATATCTCTCTCAAACTCATTAATCAACATTTGTGCGTCATTATTTTTACTGTCTGAGAAGTAAGAACCCTGAACACCAAGAATATATCCGTCTGGGGCAACAAGAAGAGCATGTTTAACTAAATGACGTCCTGTGTGGACACAAAAAGATTGTCTCAGTGTTCGGTAGTTTGTGCTTTTATCTATGAACGAATACGTTCCATCTACATAAACAATAGCTCTCGGTATGCGAGGTTCAGAATTATGAAGTTCATTAGCAAAACCAGTTACACGTCTAGCTATATATTCCGTGTGAGTTATTACGTGGAAGCCAACATTTTCTGGGACGAACCGTTGCATAAGAGACTTTCGTACTGTTGCAATACTCATACTAACTGCTTGGCGAGTTGAATATTGGAAAATAACCTTCAAGAACTCATCAGATAAATTCTGGCGCATTTTGCAAAAAAAGGTTATTAAATCTCGTTTGTAAACATGTCTCAAACAATTACCTTCAGGTACCGGATCGCAAAAAGCCCATAACTCTCGAAACTGGTCTTTTATTAAAGATGTCAAGCACTTGAAATATTCATCAACTATATGAGTTTCGTCTCCAAGATCTCTAACCTTAATAGCCTGACTCCTAAGTAATTGAAAAAATCCTTGTACGTATATCCTGACCTGGACCTGGACCTGAACCAGTAAGGTCTATTGATAAATTGTAACCCTGGTAAAAGACCTTCTAAGACATAATTATCATCTGTCAAGTGTTCACGACAAGTTTTAGTATATTGTGGAACATATATATTTCGGGTCACAAATATCTTGATTCTCGCGTCCTGAGTCAACCGTCTCAAATTATTTGGCGAATTACAAATAAAACATACACGACTAGATCTTTGACACAGTATATTAAATATCGCACAAGTAGGATCAGCTTCAATTGCTTGTCGTTCTGCCATTATAGATGTTCGACAGATGAGACATAGATGCGTCTGATCCGTGATTTCAATTGCTGGCATATCTCTTCCATCACGTCTCACTATAGCAATCTCTCGTATATGCTCATCACCTTCGCGATCAATTCGAGACAATCTCTGCAATGGCAGACAAATGTTACATGTAAAGCAATGAGGCATATTTTGAGAAACCTGTCTTCATCAACTAGAAGATATACTTTATTAAAAATAGTGACTTTTCAATAATGATGATTGTAATTATTGATAGGAAATCTAAAATGGAACAATATCAAATAATTCGAATGCTGAACGGAAAATGTCAATAATGGTAAAAAATTCAGCAAGGTTCAAAGCACTCAAACGATGGTTAAACAAACCCAGAAATCATATTCAAAAGGTATGCTCTAAAAACCATACGCAAATGATATGCTCCGTAACTATGCTGAAACAGACTATTGCTTGAGTAACGACAAAAAAAATTGAGAATGCTCTTCAATTATCCTTAGAAGGACTATTGAAGAAGTGATTCTCAATAAAATATGTATTTTCCGCAACTATCCTGAAAAAGAGTGCTGCAGGCGAAAACGTTAAAAAATTGAATAATTCTCAATAAATGAGTAGGTTCCGTAACTATCCTGAAAAATATTGTTGCTGAAGTAACAAAATAAAAATTGAGAATGCTCTGCAAAAATCCTTAAAGGGACTATTGGAAAGGAAATTCTCAATAAATGTGTAATGTCTGCAACTATCCTGGATAGAAAGGATAGAAAGTAAAATAATGGAGAACTCTCGCGAATTATCCTCGAAAGGATGAATTGTTCCTGCACGCGCGTTTGTGTGTGCGTGCGTGTGTGCGTGCGTGCGTGCGTGCGTACGTGCGTGTGTGTGTATCTGTATCTATTCGATAATATCTGGATATGTTTATCCATAACAGCATGTCGATACCCTACCGCCGCACAGTGACTGACCACTTTTGCCCCATTTTAGGACGTGAAAGAGGGCCCATTGGGCTTCGGGCCCATTGAGACTTTTGATGAGCATACTGAAAACTATCTTTCTGCAAAATTTCAGCCAAATTCCCCGGAAGACCTTTTTTCATGTTCCGTGCGGGGTCCAAAAAAAATCGGCAAAACAAGTCAATTAGGGGCAATTCTGACATCGGATTTCAATTCAGCTGCTCAAAATATGAGGCAATAATGTATTTTGGTTATCTGCACAAGACTTTTTTTGTTGAGCTGTTTGATTTAGTAACTAGAAACAGTTAGGTATTTAAGTAAAATAGATTTAAGTATCGTAGGACCAGTTTTGGTTAAAAATTAACGTTACGGCGGAACTGTAAATATCAAGAATAAATCATCCAAGTCAATAAAACTTTGTTTTAAAATCTTATAATGTCAATGAAAATGATGAATCCCTTTTAATATTCAAATGGATAAATTGATATTCAATGCTATTTTAATTGCATAAACTTATTCTGTTTTCTTTTGGTTTTTGCAGACTGAAGATGAAATGGTGTTTATAAGTTACAAACAGAAATTATGTAATGATAACTAGCCATAAAGTGACAATAAAGAAACAGCTGGTTACATACTATCACAAATTATATATATTTTTTACAAAATAACAGAACATTAAGTAGATTTGCAGAAAAATATATATACGTATAATTAAAATTTATTAAAAATATATAACTATGTACAATTTAAGTTAAAACTGCCTTAAAACTGCAGGTCTCCTAGTATCATACCACTGGAACATCCTTAAGTATTTAAATAAATATCTTTCAATACGAAACTGGGAAACATGCAATATATATAAAATGTTCCCTAAAAATATGTATAACAAACAGCTCTATTCTGGAACAGCATGCTGCCTTTGGTAGCTTTCCCTAGCAATTCTTCTAAGTTGATCGGCCAGTGATTTACCAGATTCTGCTACCATTTTATAAAATACGCTATTTTGGTTTTGTAGGAGAACATGCGGATGATCAAATTCAACCATCGTACCAGAATCCATTACTAATACTTTATCCGAGTCCATTATTGTATTTAAACGATGGGCTACTGTTATTACCGTGCAGTTTGCAAACTTTCTGCGGATCGTTTTCTGGATCAAGGCATCAGTTCTGCAAAATAAAGTTTGTTTTAAAAGAATGAAGAATGAGAAACTGACAACAGCAGATGTATAAAGTAAGTACAAATGAAATGCATCGTATTTAATTGAATATGGCACACAAATATGTTTTAACTTACTGTGGATCTACATTTGCAGTGGCTTCATCCAGCATGAGTATCTTATTATTCCTTACGATAGCTCTGGCTAAACAAATAAGTTGTCTTTGACCAACGCTGTAGTTTGCGCCCCTGTCAGTTACTCTGTTCTCTAATCTGTTGATTATATTGGAAGGATCATTCAATTCAACATCATTTATCGCGCTATAAAGTACGTCGTCGGGATATTCTTCAAACGGATCTAAATTGTATCGCAAGGTTCCGGAGAATAAAACAGGATCTTGGGGAATAATAGATATTTTCGATCTGAGATCTTTCAAAATGAGATCTTTGGTATCAATTTTATCAATTTTTATTTCTCCTTCTACTACTGCCAATCTAAATAAGGCTGAAATTAGGGACGATTTTCCAGCACCAGTTCTGCCCACAATTCCAATCTAGAATGTAATAATTTATTATTAAAAAAAGTTTTTGCAAAAAGCTTTAAAAAATTTACATATTAATCAATAATTAAAAATGTATTATTTACATATCTTTAGTAGAACGATGATTATGATAACTCTATTTCTGCATACCTTTTCATTTGGTTTAATTACTAGATTCAGATTTTTCAAAACAAGATCTCCAGTTTCAATGTATTTCAGTCCCATGTTGTTAAAGACGATTTCACCTTTGTCTGGCCAAGCTTTTGGCGGATTTTTGGGTATATCTGGTTGTTTTTCTTGAGGTAAGTGTTTATAATCTAAAACTCTTTCAACGGACATTAGCTGATTCGACACCTCTGCTGATTGACGCATTCCCCACTGCAGTAAACCAGTTAGGGCTGCCGATTGTGTAATTGCCAGGCCCACATCTCCTCCACGAAGGCCTAAGTCTAATAAAAAAAAATAATCATTGTAGGCAAATGTTCTGTACAATGTTTATATACATACTTTCGCCAAATGTAAGGAAACTAAACGTAATGAGGCCAACAAAAATAAAACACAAAATGTCCAACCAAAATCCAAACGCCGAACTTGCTGCAATGAACATAAACCAGGCACTGGTGTGACAATCTTGGTGTTTGTCAAATTCGTCTCTCAAAATATCCTGTGCACCAAATGCCCTTATTGTAGTTAATCCCTGTAGTGTTGCATTTAAATGCGTGAAGACGGGACTTCTCACTAAAATTAAATGTATTAATAAATCTCTTTAAATTTAATATGTCATAGACTTACTAATTCCTTCTAATCGTTTAATATTTTTTGAGGATCTTAAGAAAACGTGTCTTAATAATATGAAGAATACACCAGTGATTGCTACTAATATTAAAAACTGTGGATTCACAACAGCAACTAAAATTAGAGAACCAGCCATTGACAGCATGATCTAAAAAAAACGGGCAAGTGAAGCGACATTTAGATATTTGTAATATGTATGCTAACCTGTCCGGCATCGAGAATTACTTTTGGTAAAAGTTCATCTATGGCACCCATATCCTTAGAAAACCTGTTTAAGATACGACCACTGGGATTTGTGTCAAAAAATCTCATGGTCGTACCAATTATACTGTGGAACATCATGTTATGTAGTTTTTGTGAACTTATCATTGCTAATTTGTAAAAGAGCACGGATCTCAATAGGGCTGTAACAAAAAGAGCAACTATCAATCCTCCATAGATGTTAACACAAGTTTCTGTTGACCAATCAACGGATGGTCTAACGACAACTTCCACGGTTCCATTCTTGGGAGGGGAAGTATTTCTAAACTCTTCAATGTTAACCCAGAAACTGACAAAATAATCCACACCACCTGCCGACAACTGCGCCAAGATATATAATATTATAACTATAGCCACGAAACAGAAATTTCCGCCAGAATGGAAGTATTTCCAGAGAAGAGATCCATGAACATTGCCTTTAGATGATACTTCTTGCATATCTTTAATTTTTATTTCTTCTTCCGGTTCGTATTCCTCATTATCTTCTTGCAGGATGCTATCTGGCAGACTTAACTCGCTTATGGCACTGGCCATAGACGACTTAGTACTCTAAAAAAAATTGATACATATTATTATTATTATTGCAATTACAATTACAATTACTATTACTATTACTATTACTATTATTATTATTTATTTATTTCAAATATATTTTTTAAATCAATAACTGGGTGGCGTACTTACCCTTATGGACATTTTTCTTAAAATTTTAACATTCTCTATTTGTTTCTGCCTTTCTTCATCAGTTGGTTCAGGTTCCGAGGTAAGTAATTTGGCATACAAATTATCACTTGCGGATAAATATCTGAATGTACCTTCATTTTCTATTTGCCCCTGTAAAGAATACTCTTTATATTTACACATCTGTAACTAATTGTTTTCAGACTTACGTGATTAAGAATTAGAATGTGGTCAGCATCTTTTAAATGATGTACCTGGTGTGTTACCAGAATCCTAGTTTTATTAACTAAATACCCATTAATGCATTCATCGTATAAGTGCTTTGACACGTGGATGTCCACAGCAGATAAAGGATCATCTAGCAAATAAATATCTACATCTCGGTAAACAGCTCTGGCCAGATTTATCCTAGCTTTTTGCCCACCACTTAAAGAAGCACCTCTGTCGCCGACGATTGTTTGGTCTCCGTTTGGGAATTGTTTAAAATCCTTTTCTAAGTCACATGCACGAATGACGTCGTGGTAGCGCTTTTTGTCGTATTCCGCTCCAAAGAGAATATTTTGACGAACAGTAGCCGCAAATACCCAAGGTTCTTGTGATGCATAGGACATGGTTCCATTAATTTCTATGGTGCCACTGGCTATTTCCAATTCACCTGCAAAACAAAATATGGAAAATATAGAATGCTGCATAGTGTCTAGTTCGGTGATTTTCAACTGTTTAATATTTGCAACCCAACTATCCGCATTAGATTCATGCATGGCCTCCTTACATGATTTTGGTACCTTAATAAAATGTATTCAAATTACTTATATTTCATTGCTGCTGTTATTCCTGCACTTTAAATTCGTCTTGAAATACTACTCGGTACTCGATCACAATTGAAGAGGTATTGTTTGGTAAACTTATAAGAAACAGAGCTACAGCACTTTTACTGTTTTATTGCAATGGGAACACTGTTAGAATAAATAAAGATGGCGCTCCAGTAACGCCTAGAAGAACTTATAGCCTGCAAAAGTTGTTGAGATAAGACCCTTCATGGTGTATGAACACGAATTACTTGATTGACAGAGGTTTTTGATGTTAAAGAAGTAATCTGGGTCTGAACATTGTGCTAACAGGAACTGCTGCTGTATAGTTAATTTTATTGTAACCAATATTGTTCAGTTGCATAATGTTGCATAATAATTAAAAAAACGACTGATGTGTAGGTACTCTGAATTTAGAAAGTGTCAGTTTTTGAGTCGGTGTACACACGTCGCACAGTGGGGCAGAATCCCAAATAGCTGGCCAAAAGTAAAAAATCTTTAAAAATCGATCTGAAATTTGTTATTCGGGGGTTTTTGGGGTTGCTGATAACGAATTTGGAGTCAGAATTACAAAATCCAATGTGGAGGATTTAATATAGCTATATCAGAAGTAGAAATATTTTGTAAATAGGGACTTTCCGAGTAGATTAAGAATTAAAAGATTATGAAATATAAAATGTTACATTTATCAAGCATGAAGAAGATGTAAAAGTGACAAATGACATATTAGACTATTCATATATTACGTTAAATAAGTGTCGGGAGTAATTTATTTGAATCCCGTGCCAAAGTTGTAATATAAAATTCCAGTCTTTCCATAAAAGAAAAGAATCATCATCAGATGAAAAATCTCCATTTGTAGCATCCGTCGAATCTTCTGAAGTTGACACAATTTCGTCTTTATCTGCAATCTTCCCATGTCTTACATCGTCCAGAGAAAGCGAAATTCATTTTACTCTACATTTTACAAAAACCTATACAAAAAGTTGTTAGGCACTTATAGGCAGCTGATTTTTTTTTTAGTTTACAGATAATAGTTTTATCTTTTTTGTCCAATAAGTTAAATGACATAATTCTGTAGAATTATTAAACTTTTTTCTTCAAAACTAAATTCTTATTTCATTTTATAACGTAAAATTCACATAAGTTTGGTAGCCAATTACTATTTTTTGTAAAAATATTGAGTATTTTAACCTGCATATTCATAATCTACGTACATTTATGAGTTGATTCCATTTTATTAGAGATAAATCGGTGAACTCTACGAAATTTTATAACCATTTAAACACAACTATTACTTCTGTTCCTACGCGCGAACCAGGTTTTCCTCGAGCAGCGGTCACCTTTATAGTGATTTAAGAAGCAGGTATAGGGAATTTGACCCTAATAGTAATGGATTCTGAGACTTGGGATATTACTCTAGCCAATCCAACAGTAAAAATTGCCGAATTAGAAACTTTATTTTTTGACTTTTGGCCAACTTTTTGGGATCTGCCCCACTGTGCGTCGCAAGCATAGATCTTGTAGTTTATAAGCTATATGGTCGCAAGAGTAGTAAGAGGATATCAGTGTTTAATGGGGAAAATTCTAAGGGAGAGTGGAATGAAAGTGCTACAAGGCTGGTGAGCTGGAAATTGTCAAGTAACCGCATTTTGATTGAGCATCGAGGCACATCGACGAAATCAAACATTGCTTTCACTCGTACCTCTCCTGTCTCACCTCTACAGGTTTATTTAATTAAAGGAAAAACAAATCACATACGTTTAAAATTAAAACATTTCTCTGTATTATACAAAGAGATCGGTGTAGAACATTACAACACGTGGACAATTGCTACAACGTGTTTAAGAATTAAGAGATGCAATCACAATTTTCTTGGAAGAAAAATCAAGAAGCAAGCTTAGAGACAGAGAGAGAGGGGGGCTGTGGGAGGGAGGGACTGGTTCACTGATTTACTCGTTTTATTGATCTAATTCTAAATCTGAACTTTACCTCATGTGAATATGATTTTACTTACCTAAAATTGTTTGCAAAAGAGAACTTTTTCCACTACCCACAGGTCCAATGATTCCTATCAGCCTGCCTTTGAGAACATTTAAATTAATATTAGTTAGAGCAGTCTCAGTCGAAGAAGCATGCCATTTTGCCGTGAGTTGTTTCAAACTAATAGCATTTTTATCAATAACGTAATTGGAATTGTTATTATTCTGTGAAAAAGAAACGGGGACGAATTCTTCATTAATCATGAATTCTTCTAATCTCTTGATAGCTACAAATAATTCTGCTATCTCGGAAATACCTCTAACGAACATCGCAGACATTGTTTGGGATAGGATGTTGAAGTAAGTCATCATTACAAATACCTAAAACAAAATATATTTGGAGAAATAAGCGAATATTGATTTCAGTTGGATTTGCTTGGAAGGAACTTTAGGCTGGAAGAACTATGGACTTTTCAGATATCTCTTGTGAATTTTTAAAATTAAAGTTAATTCAGTAACTCGAAGTTTTGATAACTCGAATTTTCTTTGTGTCAAATCATGGTTCGAGTTATCGAGGTTCTACCGTATTTTGATTCTCCGAGGCATATTTAGATTGAAAGGAACGTATTGTTTACTTAGTTTGCAGTATATTATGTAACTAGTTCTGAAATAGTTTACGTTTTTAGGTGCTTATTATGTAGAGTTGCTGAAGACATTTTGCTCTACTCGAAAAACTTTTGTTAAGCACTCGCAGACCATACCTACTTTATATATTACAAAAATTACTGTAACGAGGGATTTAATTAAGATATAAATAGATGTAAATACACATGAAATTAAATAAAGTCGTTCTAACAAAACTAGAAACTTCGGGTTACTAGTTAAGGATGGTTTTAATAATTTAATTAGATGGAAAATCATTTTTATATCGGAAGCTGTTGAGTTCCTTGACATTCCATTAATGCACTAATTTTATTTAAAATTAAGTACCTAAGTTTCTATTAATTTTGGTCCAAATTGTAGATATGCGAAGGACAAAAAGTTAGATCAAATTTATTCACGTATAAGGGTAGGTGTAACTAGCGTTCTCTACCTATACAGGGTGTTCGGAAACTAAACAGGCAAACGAAGATAGCAAATTCCAGAATAATCTTAAGTATTCGATTTTGATATTAAAAATACCAAAAAGTCGAAGACAAAAAAGTGTAATTAAAAATATCAGCTGACCCTCCTAAATGTGACGTCTATAGTTACAATTAAAAGATCATTTTTACATCAAAAAACTGTCCGTATAAAAGTTAATACATATCTTAAGTTTGATCCTTCTAAATAAACAATTAAAAAAATTAATGACAAATGGCCATGTTCAAAGAGCTCTACCTCCCTTAGAAAACATTTTTGCATAAGACGATGTATGTCACAAATCGATATGAAATCATCCTTTTCCGGACACTCTGTATATACTAATTTTGAAATTATTGTTCTAAAAACAAATTTCCAAAAATTGTCAACTTGATTGGGGCAATGGTTCTTCAAACGGTTTTTTAAATAGTGATATTGAAAATATATTTGATTAAGCATGCCTGACTTAATCACTTTATTTAAACTTCAGAACATTAGGCTGTTTTATTCTTTATGAAACCCCGTATACATTTACATATTTGGCAGTGAATGGAAACAAAATATTTGAAAATATTAAAATATCGATGTGAATATTGAAACATTGAAAATAAAAACGGAAATAAGAAAACAGATTTATTCGAATAAATAAAATATACTTACTTTGGCGGCTGTGATTGGTTGGTCAGTCAATGCAATGGTTAATAAAGTACAGAACAGTGCAACTCTGGTGGTGAATAAATTGAAGGTCATAAATAACGCTCTAATATAAGAAGATTTCATAACAACTTTAAGTTCCGCCTTTCTCGCGAATTTTATTATTTTCTCGAATGGCTTTTCCCAAGCGTACATTTTAATCACTTGAACTCCAGAAATGATTTCATCCATTAGCCTTACTCTTTCATCTGTCTTCAAAGCTGTTTGTTTTCTGTATATAGCAGACAGTTTGCCAGTGTAACCTGAAACATTAAATTAAATTTTGGTGTTATCAAAACTAAGAATTTAATTGCTATTTTAGGCTGGACGGCGGTAGGTACTTGTAAAATAAGGTTTTTATTGATCTCTGGAGGTTTTTAGTAGTTAGCCATTAATATATTATTCCTACTTTGAAGCGGAACTACGAGGAAGACAGGTATAATCCCCAAAGCTCCGGCATATCCAGCTTCGGCATACAAGAAGTACATCACAATTAAGGCTGCGGTTGGGGCCACCCACATGTGATGTATAAAAATGGAGACGATATCGAATCTACTAACGTCGTTTGATAGTAGATTAACTATCTTCCCAGATGCAGTGTCACCGAGGGCAGTCTTACTTAACCTCAATGCCTGAAAGTACAAAATGTTTTTTACTTTGTTGAAAAATAAATTACTTAAATGATATTAATAGAAGAAAGCTCCATAAAATTTAAATGGTATTGGCAAAATTAATATGTCTAATTCATAAAAGAAGATACATATCTCATTAGTACTGTAAAACTTTGAAATATAGCCATGCTTTCAGTTTATTTATACATTTTATTTATATCTATACCAATCGTTAAGAAATAAAAAATGATGAACCGCAATAAACATCAAAGCAGGCCTAGGTGTTCTAGTAATGGGTATGTCCCCATAGAGCCTAGCCTGAGAACAACAAGGACAGGTAAAAGAATCCTAGCTAAGGCTAAGGAAATGAAAGGTAATTCGAATATAAATTCTGAATCTCTGGAAGTCGGTGTAGGGGTTCCTCAGGGATCCATACTAGGCCCAATTCTATTTTTACTGTATAGCAACGAATTTGACAACGTAGTTTCTGATACCTCTTTTATCATGTATGCCGATGACACATCTTTGTTAGTATCTGATAACATAGACAATTCTTTAGAAACAAAAACTAATGCTTTGTAAAAGTCAATGGGTACGTGGTATAGATCCAACCATCTACCATCTCTATTTCAATCTAGAAAAAACTTAAGTAATTAGGTTCCATAACAAGCAAAAAAATTGTGCCAAATTACGTTTATTTAAATGAATCTGATATTTTCGGCTATGAAAATGAAAAAGCTACACAAATACTTAATAAGAAATACTTACATTTTAATCTTTAAATTAATTTTTTGATTTTTAATGTATCTAGAGTAGATAGTTTTAAGTTATTTTAAGTACAAAAAAAATGTGACAATTCCTATACAATGTCTGTCTTCAAGGAAAATAAAGTTTTTATTATTATTATTACTTTTCAGAGTTGTATGGTTGAGATCCGTTGCACTTTGATTTTGAAAGCAATTGCAAAACTGGACGAGACTACAAGACGACTGGGAAGTCGGCTGTTTCGTTGCAACGTCTGATCGCTGTGTAATTAGCCCGCCGCGCTGGTCGGCGCGGCGCATTACCTTTTTCGAAGTGGAGCGCCGAGTTAACGGGAGTTAAGGGGTAATTTGCTTATTTTTTAAAGGTCGAATAATTTTTTTTTCGATTTTCTATCTATTAGGCCTTTCGAACATATGGTTACAATTATTGACATTATGACTGAATCACCCTGTATATGAATATTTATTGAGGTTATGTACTTACTTTTCTATAAATTAACGCACAAGACGCCGCTCGTACTTTCATTCCGTAGTGGAATGCTCCCATTATATATTGATTCATGAATAAGGCACTAAGGGCATTTAATGCCACGACGGCACCGGCATACCACAGGGCTTCAGTCTTGGTGACAGTAGGTACTGGTTTGAAATATTCTAAGAGCCTCCCAAGCATCAGGGGTTGGCTTAGGCGAATGAATATATCCATGAATACTAAAAGTACACCTAAATATAAGTACTCTGGCCAGAAGGTAGCTACTAATACTCTAAGGAGGCTCGGTTTCTTGTTGTTCTTTTTTGCTTTCTCTTCGTTCTTATTCCAGTTTCTGTAACAAGGATTTTTATTAGTATTAGGATTGGTTTGGTTCACACAGGGAAACTCTTGATATCCCGTTAACAAAATTGGGCGGACACGTTATTGGGTAGTTGTTTAGGGTCGAACTCATACAGACTGCAAAGTCACAACTGAAACAACTTTAGCAACTGAGGTTGTACTTAAGAGTTGCAATTTATGTTTTTGTTCAATGTTCATGTTCACTTATTACATGTTCAATTTTAATCATGAACACGAGACTAGAAAATATATTATATTGACAAATAATAATACATGCAACTACACTGAAAAAAAAGTATTTGGATCAAATGGGCATATAGTTTTACATGGACATATTTGCCGAAAATGTTATTTTATTCTATTCAAATGTATATACTTCAAATGTGGCATATTATAATCAAACTTATGTTTTCTTGAAAGAAAATTGTAGCAGGTCACAGAATGGCGCACGTGGGAAGTAGCACGATAGATGGAGCCACTTACGCTCTGTGTGTACACATCTCCTTGTGAGTAACGACACTAAACCAGCTGGATCGTTTTAAACATAAAAGTAGAGTAACTAAATAAGAGGTTTTTATTGGATAGGGCGGATCGAACATGCATTCACTGGGCCATGTCACGTTGTTGTAGCAAAACATTGTCCTTTATGGAAATTGTTAAACAGAAATCTGCAACCACAGATTGAATCTGTGTTTCCAAGCTTTCAATCAACAGAAATAGAATGCGTTGACTGAAATATTTCAATCAACGTAGAATGTTGGAGGTTTGAGGTTTATCTTCAGTTCAGGTAGGTTGCCGCGTTTTGTGCATTAATAAATTTGTTTTGTTTTAGATTAATGTAATAAGGGATTTATTGAATTAGTCATCTGAACTGCCTTACTGTATTTTTATTCTTTTTTTTTATTCAAAATGAGTTTACCTGGTAGAACTACACGTAAATGTTGTGCTCCAAATTGCAAAAGCACTTACTATATGAATGTCTGTAATGCGTCCTATAGAAATAAATGTTTTTTCAAAATTACAAAAGACAGACAATTACTGTGGATAGAATCAGTTCGAAAATTATGTAAATCAGACTTTGCTCCGACAAACACAGATCATTATTTTTGTGAAGACCATTTTGAGTTAAAATGTTTTAAAAGCAGT